GATGGTGCAGATGTTAATTGTTGCTTAAGTCATTGACAGAGTCTAACACAGGACTTGAAAGGGTCTCCCAGAGGCTTCTGCTGGGTGGTGTGAGGTGGTAGAAGCTTGTGGTGCAGCTGGTAATTTGCATCTTACACAGCTTCTACGTGATGAAAACGTTAGTGCCGCTCACACAGCTTGTGAACATGCAAGAGCTGGTAAGGCATCGCATGCACACACACATCCAGAGCACAGCACATCCCCTGTACACCACCACAGGCTGCAGTGTTAGTGCAAACCTCACAGCTGCTGGGTGCAAGCCCTCGGGAAGAACAAGACATTCTTCCGAGCAGGAGAACCAGCAAGGCCTGGACCCACATCTCCTGGCTGATTGTGGGGGCCGACTGCAGCTTCTGCCCACCACAGGCATGCCTGGGGTCTGTCCCCTGCTGCAGACCCCCCCACAGAAGGGCAAGCTCTGTGTCAGGAGATGTGGAGGCCTGCTTTCCTCTGCCACCCTGGCTTTCAAGACCCTGCTAGCAAGATGAGCCTCTCTGGTCTTCATGGGAACTTCACCACAATTACCCAGACAAGCACACAGGCACTTTGTTTCACAAGCATATTTGCACCTCATTCAGTTCTGTCAAGACAGTGTGTGACCCAAGAGACCACAACCGTAATGCAGGCTCAAACTTAATTTCTTTCCCTTCCTTTTCATTTTTGCTCCTGTCTTTTTTTTAACCTCTTCTAGCTCCATTTCTCCTTTCTGCAAGCACTCACTACAGAATGCATCAGGGAAGCCAGCAAAAAGTGCTTTGCTGTCTCGTCAGCAGATCACAGAAAGCCTTCCCATTCACGTTCATCCAGTTGGAAATGCAGGTAATTGATGTGAACTTGAAAATTATGATTTGGAAGAGGGGGGGTGAGGAAAGCTTCTCTCCAGTACTGCTGTTCCACCCAGCCTGTACTCAGTCAATCATAGCGGGCTGGTTAATCGGTAGCTCTATTATCACCTTCCTTTCCTGCATTTACTTTGGGCACAAGAGGCACCAGGAGGGAAGCTGAAACCAGAACAAGGTATAAATATGTACCTGTTGCAGTTTGTTTGTTGCTGGTATCTGAAAATAAAGAAACACAAATGGAAAACAAAATATTCAATTAGAACAGCAAATGGTGACTCTGCCTGCCCCAAAGCAGGTGTCTCCTGTTGTCTCAGGGACAAGAATTAGGTGCACATTCCCAGCCTTCTCTTTGGACAGCCAGAGCTGCATTTAGAAAGGAGGAAGGATAGATATGTGAGGGGGCACCGCTGCTTAGGAACTGTAATTCCCAAGGAGGGCTGAGATCTCTGTGTGCTGGTAGTCAGAGCTTGGAGCATGCCGAACAGCTGCATCTTAAACATCTGTCACCTTATAGTCAGGAACAAGAAGTCACAGCACAGACGCTGGTAGCACATGGATCTTGACACTCCCTCCCTGCCAGAGCAGTAAACCAGAGCCCAGTTGCTTAAGACATCCAAGTGTCTGATATGCAGGCGGACATTCTGGCTTCATGCAGTCTTCCAACATCTTACTTGCAGTGGAACTGCCCTGCACCACTGCCATTTCTTGTCCTAAGTCAGTCCTTGCAAGAGAAAAACAATCTAAACGCAGCCCTGCTCAATTATGCAGTGTTACAGAAGCACAAAGTAAATCATTCAAAATAAAATTTGAAGCTATTATTATTTATATCGTGGCAGAGACCCCAGGTGAACTCAGAGTCCAAATGTAACAGGTGTTGCACATATTTTATTTCAATTAAATACAGTAATAGGGAGACCAGCCCAAGGCTACAGGGAGCCAAATTAGGAAACTGCACGAGAAATACAAATAAAATGCATCAGATTCATTCAAGTGATGATCACAGGAGCTTGGCTGGCTGCTCCTCTGGGCAGCTCTTTATTTATTAAGGTATGAGCAAATCTGTCCTCACCAGAGATCCCCCCTCTGAGTGACATCCTCTGCTGATGCTGTGGGCAGCCATGAATTTTGCTAAAGGGGAGGAACAAATCCTGGAGCTCCACCACCATGTCTCAGATGCACTCTCTCTTTCCTAGGCAGAGGAACTGAATCAGACCCCATCACTGACCCTGCACGGCAGCCGGGGAGAGGAACACTCTGAGGCAGGCAGGATGCCAGCTATTTGTGTGATGGACTGAAAGGTTTGTCTGAGTTTGTAGAACAGCTGAGAAGTGAACCCAGGCAACTGCTGTTCAACCAGGAGAACATGCATTTACCCTGAAAAGAACTCCGGCTTGCCTCCCCAATCCAGCATTTTGTCTGTTTTCACACACCTGTGCACACAGACGCCTCCTTACGCACTCGCTCCCTCCTGTGCCCTACTCCGAGCTCCCAGCCTCTTGATGATGATGCCGGGGACAGGATGCAGCTGCAAACATCTCCTGCTCATTTTAACAGCTGCAAATGCTCCCAGGTCTGCTGCAGGGCAACAGTAGGAGAGAATCTTGCAGAATCCAATCGACAGCTGTATCAGGCTCAAGCTGACTTGCACATTCATTATTCACATAGGCTTTGATTTGTTCAGTGCCAGAAAACAGCAATGCCTCGGCTTCAAACTGGCCATAATCTCCAAAGCTCTGCAATTGTAGATGTTACGATTACAGAACTGTTCAATTCTTTGTATTTCCTAAAGCAACAACGACGTGCCTACCCACATGAAAGCCTGTGCTCAGAAGCATTGTCACAACTTTTGTTTTTCTGCTTGTTTCTCTCTCCCTCCAAGCCTTCCCTACTCCCTCTCTAATTCATGAGCATGGCACTGATGTATATCCAAGGCCTATTCATGCATGTTCAAGCCAACCCATGCAGGTAATTAATCTAATTAAGAAGTGCCTGTATTTATAGACAAGTGGTATGTATAGTTCATACATTACTGACCTTCACCCATTATTTACCCCCTTCAGCCCCCAAGCTGAGTCAGCTGGAGCAGGACCCAAACCAGGCCTTTGGACACGGCTCTAAATCTCTGAATGTAAGGGAAAAAGTCCACAAAATGAATGTTCACTTTATCTGTCATAACAGAAACTTGGGCTGCACCAATTTTCTTCCTGACGCGCTGCCATCTGCATTTACCAGGGTGGAAAAGTAAAAACACCCAAAGTTCTTCCATAATATACTTGGCCTTGGGGCTGAGCCACTCAGGATGGGAAGCCGCATCTACAAAAGCATGACACTGATTTGGGGAAAAATATACCAGGAGCAGTGGAAACATGACATTAAAATGTTCGCCTCTTCTTTTAGATTAAAAGAAATAACCCTTTCCTTATTATTATTATTAATTTATTTATTTTTTACTTCCCCTTCCTTTTTTTTTTTTTTTTTTTTTTTTTTGTGGAAGACTTTTTGTGTCAAACAAAACCAAAGCCATGCAGGACACCACCTCAGAGCAGATGCTTGCTTAACTTTCCAGGTCTAGTGTGGATTAGCACCTCTTACAAAGGCTGCCAAAGAGAACAAGTTGTTACTCATGTAAAGCTCCAGAGGAAACCTGGCTGGCTGAGATGCAACTTTTTCCCTTTACTTTCCACCGAGTAGTAAGCAAAACAAACCAGCTCCTGTAGACCCCATCCCATTTATCATTACCTCCTCTAGTAACATACAAGGTGCACAGGGGACTCAATAGTTCTGTGAAACAGATACAATTTCCTTCTTTTGTTATCAAGACTCAGGCATATGGTGCTGCATAGAGTCTAAATAGGACTGTTGGTCTTTCTGGTATTGGCATTTCCATTGGGAAGGCCATCAGTGCTAATGAGAGTTCATAAGGAACATGAAGGTCTTTGGAACAGGCTAACAATTGCAAGGAATGCCAGTCATCCGGAGCACAAATTTAACTCCCTCCCACACAGGCCTTTTGTTAGCTTGCTGTTTACAGCTTGAAGTTATTGACATCATAAGTGTTGAATCATAAAGCCAGAATTAAGAGAAAGGATCCCCGCTTTGCTTGTGGCTCCCTCCTTTGTTGTACGTCTCTCTCCCCCTGCTTTGGTTCCGCACCTCATTCAGAATATGTGACACATGCAAGTCTCAGAGGGATGAAAGCTATAGCAACAGGAGTTGTACATCTAATCCTTGATGCAGAGTGCTAAAAGTGTACCACGCAGCATCACATTTCCTATTCACAAGGCTGTTCGTGTTTTCATTCATGTTAAACTCAGGAGAGAAACTACACAAGTTCTGTAAAAGGGAAAAAATTGAGGGCAGCAGGTCTGACATGGACTCTTAGCATTTAGTTTATAATGCTGAATTACTCTGTGGTGGTGGTGGTGCTGGTGTAAACGGGGCTCACACCTGGAAGTATAACAAGAAACGTGATGGCCAACTGTCTGGGGATTACCAGGGGGTTGCTTATTACAGCCGGGAAATAACACGTAATGCACAGCTTCTCATCTGTGGGCTGAACACTGGCTACTTACAAACAAATATTGTCACAGCCTGGAGGAGGTACAAGTCCTTGCACTCTTAGCTCCCACCTACAGACTGTAGCAGGTATCAGCAGACGCTACAACTATCGCCTGAACCCAAACAAAACTAATTAATAAAAAAGCACAAAGACTTACCTGATTTTGTACAAGGAAATGTCTGTTTCTTGGGATGGGCCCGAAGACCCATGGCCCTGGCAGACCAGTAAGAAGATGGCGTTCCCACCAGGCACTCAGGGCCTGGCCTTCCTGCTGCCCCCCACTTCATTTTTATTTTTATTTTTTATTATTATTATTATTTTGATGGCAAGAGTGAAGTCGGTTGCCCTTCAATGAGGCCTATCCCTGCTGCAGCCTACCTGAGGTACATTTGTGGCAGTTGCTGCTGCTAGCATGTCTCAGGTGGACCACGGTGGGTGCTTGAGGAATTTGAGTTGCTTGAGTAGTTTCAGGAGCTTTCATTTTTTTGAGTAGTCTCAGTAGTTTCTGTTTCAGTAGTTATAAAGAGACAGAAGCGAAAGAAAAGGGAAGTTCTGCTTACCTGTAGTGAGTACTTCAGTGGCTGGGACGTGTTTCCAGAACATTCCAGGTCCTCAGCAGCCTTGCACCAGGTGCTGAGGGTTGTTGAAGACTTAGCAGGAAACGGCTTAATAGCTCTTTTGAAATGCAAAGGTGTGTTTTGTGCTCTTTTTTTTTTTTTTTTCCTTTTTTTTTTCCCCTCCCCTGGACATGGTGCTGGTTCCTGTGCCAGCTGTTAGCACTTTAGGGAGATGCATCTTCCCAAAACGCCAGGAGCTGGGCTTCTTACTCGAGCCTGCTGCAGCCTGTGGTGAGTTTAACAATTACTTAGGTAAATAGTGCATTTTTCTTAGGAGAACAGCAATTTAATGATGGAAGTTATCTGTGTCACCTCAAGCATGCTTGTGTTGCAGGAACAACTATGAAGCAACGGGTGATTTTGTGGAGCACAGCGTGCTGCTGGGTGCGCTCAGCAAGTAGCTGTCTGCCAGGCACAAAGCCCTAGGAGGGATCTTGGCTCTGCTGGGAGTTGTTTTTTTTTTCCTCTGTGGTTCTTGAAAATGTCCAGGGATGCCTTGCTCAAGTAGATTATAGAGTTGTTAGTATGCATGCACCACAGCACCCTCCTCAAACATGTACACCAAGTGTTAATAAGCTAAGTGAATAGCAAAAGTCTCCACACTGAGCTGCTGCAACTCTTAATAACCAAAACCTTTCAGAGTTAACATTTGCCATCAAAGCAATTTGCTGACTACTGCTTGTGTTTTTTTGTTTTTTTTTTTTATTATTATTATTATTTTTTCCTGATGTAATTGACGAACTGGTGATGTAGTTATTTACTTGAAGCTGATATTCCCATGCTGTTCTTTGACTTGATATACAGTGAAAGTATCTTTTACAAAGTATCTAAATACAGTGAAAGTATCTTTTTAATTATGTTTTGAGTCTTTTTTTAATAGTCTTTTCTTAACCTACAGGGCAAATGGCAACCACATGGTGAGGTGTGAAGTGGCTGTAGCTCACCAAGAGTTAATACTTAAGATCAATAGAATTGTCAAATTTTGGGGAGGGGGAGGCAGCCCCAAAAACAGCTTCTAAAAATCCTCTGGATGTGTGATGGGATCATTCTTGTTTTATTGAGGACATCTTGACTGAGCCCTGAACCGGGAGCACAATCGCTCACCATTAAAATTAGTAAGAGGTTTTATTATTGATGTGGTCCATGAATCAATGCTGATCAAACCCAGTACAGAGCAAGTCTCTTAGCTGTGCCTGTGGAGAGAGCTCCCCTGCAGCCCACTGGGCATGAGACAGATGGGGTCATGCAGCTATTGTTTGGTAATAATTTTAAAATTGGGTCTGGATTTGCATCAACAGCTGTACACAGATTGTATCTATAATCGTTCACATTAAGGTGTTGTTTGCCTGAATTCTGGTTCAGATTGGAAAAGAAAGAAAACTGCTACACTTTAAATGGGAAAGGGAGCTAGCAGTGCGGCTCAGCTGAACTCTGAGACTTGGGGAGGGAAAGGTTGTAAGCATCTGGAAGAATCCCTCGTGGGTGTTCCAGTTTGCATAGGAATGTGTGAATAAGATGTTTTTTTGAAGCTCTGTGAAACTTACTTTGCTCAATCTGCATCTTAGTATTTGGTGCTAACTTCTTATGACTAAAATTGTAGGTTACTGGCGTAGTATCTTCTGTATATTTCCTAATTCTTGCTGTTCTGTATATAGTGCGTTTAATTAATTTGCTGACAGAAGTCAGACTCAGAAGGAACTTAGGTTCTTATGTCCTTATTGTAGGTGCCTCTGTAATGTGAATGATTATTAAGGTGTAATTAGGCACAAGGTTATTGTCCTGAAGTGATCTCTGTTAAAGATGACTTGAGTGTGTAAACAAGAAAGCTATTGTTAGGGCTTGCAGAGTAGTCCTTTGCAGGAGTGCTTTGTCCTTGCGTGGCCCCTCATCTTTGGGACAGGAAAACTAAATTCTACTGCTACTGGTAAACTATGAGCCATCTCTGTATTTTACATGCATCAGGATATATATGGATTGGGAAACAATTTTTTTTTGGTTATTGCAGAACAAGGTACCATAGAGAGCGTGGTTGAAAACAGCTCTGCAGGCTCTCTTTTTGAATAGCAGGAAAATGATTTTGTTAGTTTACTTTTAGTGAGCCTGAAAATGCACAATGCTGGAGGTTAGCTCGCTCTTAGGGCTGAGAAGTGCCTTTTGTAATCTAGACTGCCCTATGCTTGATGGCTTGTGTGCTTTATGAAGCACCTCTCTTTCTAAATTTTCAGGTGAGCCAGCCAGCGTTGAGCAAAATAGGCTGGCTTCCCTCACAGGGCTGTTCCTTCTCTTAGATAAAGGCTGCCCTTCTGACTGAGATGCCTGTAGCTCCACAGACTTGACAGTGCATTTGCAGGAAGCGAAAAATGCTAAATAAATAAACACAACTTTCCTGGTACCTGTTGGTCCTAGGAGAATCCATCCCAGGAACCTTTGTTAATGAAGAAAACCCCCCAAACAATTTGAAGATTGCTTTAATAGTTACAGCTGAATTTAACAAGACCTATTCAACCCAGAAAATATGAACTAAATCCAGACATGGGAGTTAACTGAGAGTATATATGAGATAACTTAATTGTTTACTTAAATCTGTGTACCTGGGGGGCTCTTGCTGTGTTTCTCCATATGCAAAGAGCAGCTTTGGGTCTGCATAGCATTTACTTTAGATTGAGTGAAACAAGAATAAATATAGCAACAGAAGTAAAATCTTTATTAGAGAGCAGGTGTGCTGATCTCCTCTTCAACGTGCTGCATTAATTAGGCCTGCAGCATTTGCAGCTGCCTTTACTGAAGCGAAGAACCTTGAAAATATAAAGGTGCAAGAGCAAGAAGGCAACCTCTATAGAGGTATTTCCCATTGGTATTTCATAGTGTGCTTTGGTGATTTAGATGCAGCCTTCCTTTTAGAGGGATTGCCAAACAGTTGTACTCAGGCTACTTCAAAGCAATACTCAGAAAATAAAATTTCTTTCTTCTTACGTCCCTGAGGAGGTAGGGGAGAGGCTGTTCAGTCAGTGAACACAGCCTACACAGCTGAATGTCTCTGTGTGTGTCTGCTCTTGCCAGCACTGCTGCGATGCATGATGATTTCTGCTCCATGTTGGGAGTCTGAGTAAATTAAGCTTAGGAGACCTCAGTCAAAACATCCGCACCTCTATTTTGACTTACTGACTGTCACGAGGACATTGTCCAGCACTGCAGTCCTCATTTCTGACTTTCTAAAAGTGTAAATTGGTAGAAAATTGTTGAAGAGCTTAAGCATTGCGGTTGAGTGAAGCACGATCAGTTGTTCTTGCAGGGTGGTGTAAGAAGATGGTGTGTTATTCCTTGCATCCAGTTCTTTGGGATAGTCTGTTTCCTAAAGAGCATAGCCTTGGATATGCAGAGGGGCTTTTGGCTCTTCCATTAATGCTAATTGTTATGCATAATTAGTGCAGTAACATAACATGGAAAGCAGTTATTTTGGAAGTGCAAAGTTAGAGTTGACAAGAATGCTCTTGCTTAAGCAGAGAGGATGACTTGTATCAGAAAATGGCTAAAGTTTGTTTACAGGCTCCTGAGCAAAGGTGATATGAGCAGTGAAAAGTTCAACAATGATAGACTTGTTAAAAGTTGCCCTTGACTGCTTACAGGCATAATTTTAATTTAAATGTAATAAAAACCTAAAAGAGAAAATTAAGCTGTGGAAAGCAGTTAAAAAGTCTGTCTGAAGACATCTGCAAAATGGCTTTATTCCAAGCAAATATAAGAAAACTGTTTGGTTTTTATTGTCAAACAATAATAGTGCCTTCATTTATACAATGCCTTTTACAACAAAATCCTTTCCATAGATTGCTTCCAAAACAACAAAGGTTGATTTATTTTTAAACCCTGTGCTCATAACCCTTTTCTTCCCAGCAACGTAGCATCTCTTCATCACAGCAGCAAGCGATGGAGAACGGAGCAAAAGGTTATGTAGTGAGCAGAGGGGCTGTTTGGCTGGGTCAGGAGGAAGCAGGAACCTCAATTCTTCTGCCCGCCGGCACATTTCCCTGTGTGCTCCCATTTGTGCAGAGCCTGGTGGCATTGCTCTGTCAGGAAACCTCGAATGGGAGGCCTGGTGTAATGAGGATGAAACTAAAGGTGTGGGAGGCTTGTTCTGCTTTAGGTCCCCTTCATTGCAATTAGTGTGTTTTTCCTTTTTCATCAGTCTACTTCCCAGCTTTTCGGAAAACTTTTACTGGTCCATGATATGTCCAGGTGCTGATGTGCTCTCTCTGTTTCTGCCTCTTTCCATTGCAGTCTTTTTAGAATAGGAAGATCCCACTGAGGACGGTGGATTCTAATTTTGTTTGGTTTCCTTATCAGGCCTCACCATGGAATGTTCTGCTTGCTTCTCTCGCAGTGGGGACAAAAATAGACACCTCTATTTCTCATACATGTACTCTATAAAAATCCCACTGCTTTCTACAGAAGATAAAGAATACTTCTATTGTGACACGGGTCATAGACACCAACCCTGTCATCTGAGGATCTTACAATATTTTGAAAGGTTAGTCAACATAATCCATAAATCATGAAGGGGCTGGGGAATATCAGCTCTCAGCTGTGCATGCAGAAATGTCTTTGGCTTGTAGCTGGAGCTATGAGGCCCATCACCATAGTCCTGCAGAACATGAAGGATTTCGCGGGGAGCTGTGATGTGGCTATCCCTCTAATGATCTGGATTTGTCTCTTCTGTGACAGGAGGTCAGACTACCTCCACTTTCAGTTCAGATTTAGAAATGTGAATGGTTATCATGGCTCTTGGTATGGAGACAGATGCGCATAAGATTCAGGTAGGAGTCAAAGTGGGAAACTTGAGTGTAAGTTGTAACAGGGGCATCAGAGAGCCTCATCTTGGCTGGGCCCTCACTGTGCTCTGTCGTGTGGAGTGAGAGTCAGGCTGAACACCTGGAAATGCATCAAAGGGAGTCAAGGAAGTAGATTGGACCGGAGTCCCTCAGGAGGCTTGGTGGTATTCATGTCTTCCAGCCCAGAGCACAGAAAAATCACTTCCCATTTATGCGATGGCCTTGCAGACGGA